TATGTATGTATCCACAATATAAATTAATATTTTAATAAATAATAATACGAACTACATTCACAGGACTGATAAAATCGATTGATTATTATTTTGAATGATAATAATATTAATTAATTTTATATAGTAACGTTCTTTTTGTTTTGTACATGTCGTGTGCACAGCATGCTACAGAGCGTTATGCTCAGTGCAACTTCTCTGAAAGACTACAATACCAGGGAGGATGTGTAATGGTTTGGGGGGACTGTGCTTCGAAGCACGTACGGATATTGCAGAAATTTTGGCTGAACACGTGGTTCCCTTCGGCCCATTTATTAGTGACAACTTCTTATTCATGCACGATAATGCACGCTCCCATACAGCCCGCATAGTATCCCAATACCTGAATGATTTGGATATCAGCAGAATGTAATGGCCTGCACGTAGCCCTGATTTAAACCTCATAGAACACAAGTGGGATATGCTAGGAAGACGATTAGAGCCCGTGGTATCGCCATACAAACCCTAGATGATCTCCGAATAGCGCTAGAAGAAGAGTGGACTAGATTCTAGATTTCCCAAAATGACATTGTTATCTAAAACTGTCCCCAAAGCACTGCAAAAACTGTAGTTCATGCATAAGATCAATTCCATTTATGTCGCTCTTACTTTTGTCACTTAATGCTGTTTCAAGTTTTTGACAAAGATTGAGCTGGTCTTCTTGAGGATATTTATTGAAGTCGGAGAGTTCACTTCAAAGCTTACTTCTTCGTTCTGTATAGGTTGATCTTCGAAATAAATGAAGGTTCATATCTTAACCGTAGGATACTTAACCAATAAAATAACTATAGTAACTATAATCTCGCCGGGCCTGATATTCATCCTAGGGTTAAATGCGCTTAGTAAATTTAATTTCTTTACTTAATAAATAATATCATTAACCTAATTTTAACATCGTTTGTAAAACAATGCAACGCATTCACCTTCCTATTTTTTAATACTTAGAACAATACAAAAAACACATTAGAAAATAAGAAAAAATATATAGAGGGTGTTTTTTAAGCCAGAGGAAACTTACGAAAGGGTTAACTGTTAAAGGAACTGTCATACTGTGCTCACTTTTTGATATTTATGATCAGTATACTTTGGCAAATCCTCATAAATAGATTGACGCTTGAACAACGCTACCAAATTAACCAGATTTACTTTGAAAATCAGTAATCAATTCGCACAACTTATAGACGTGTTCGTAATTTGTATAGCGCACATAATCGCCCATTTAAGCAAGCCATCCGTCGAAATGTAGATAGATTTCATACCACATATTCTCTGCATGATGCAATAACACCAACACGTCGAAGGAATGTGTGTACTGAAGAAAATTTCGCCGCTGTAAACGAAAATGTGGAAGAAGATCCAAGTTTATCGATTTGTCGTCAGTCGCTGGAATTGGGCTCTGTCCGTCCACTACGTGGAAAATTTTGCGAAAAGATCTTGGACTACACCCGTTTAAGATCCAGCTGGTTGTGGAATTAAAGCCACGAGACCATCATATACGTCGTTCTTTCGCCGATTGGTCTCTAGAGCAGTAAACAAAATTGCCGTATATGGAGTGAAACCAATCCACAACAGACCCATTACATGCAGAAAAATGCACCGTTTCGTGTGGTTTGCACGCTGGTGGCATCATTGGACCCAAAATTGAACGTCCAGAATGCGCTTCGTCAAGATCAGCCGCGGTGCCCCTATGCTCGAAATCATTTTCAAATGTTAATGCCATGTATTGATCTTTCGAACAAAAACATTTTTTGGATTAAAATCTAATTTTTTGTGTAATTTTTTTCAATTTAAAGTTCTATCGGGCTTAAAAAAACACCCAGTACATGTATTGCTGACCGTTTCTAAATACGTTTCTGTTTTTTTCCAATTGGACAAAATCTTTCCAGTTTACGGCAGGGTGGACGCCTCTATTCAAGTAAGGAGTCGGGCTGGCTTCAATGTTGTTTAACTTGTCCCTTGAATAAATCATAGGTCAAAAGTAGACACCTTTTGACCTATGATTTATTCAACCTATGAAATTGTGAGTTCCAACCTCATCGTGTGATTATTAATAGAAATCCTTCACTTCAATATAAATTCAAACAAAGTTCTTCAAAAGGAAAGATTTGCGATCGAAGCTATTCTCGGACATCACAAAATGGAAGCAGTCAAAGTCGCCAAAAATTATAATATTTTTCCCAAACAAACTGATACTAAGCGAATCAAGAAACAGTTCTAAATCATCCAGCCGAACATCAGGAGGTATGTATAGTGTAATAATAAATATTCTGATCGAGAAATAGACACATTTACCAACAACTAAGTACATCAATCAAGATTTAAAATCTCGGACACATCACAGTTGAACAATTTGATTTGCTGACTGCAGACAATAAGAACGCCACCGCCAGTAGTATAGTAATGAGAGTTCTGGAACGGAAGTGATTCATGATCGGCGACGGTAGTGCCACCTAGGTCACGCGCCAATGGCATAAGTATAGGGAGCGGTTCCAACCAAAGTTTAGGGGAAAAAAATTTGGTTGGTAGCAAAAGTAACTAACTACCCGGTGATTATACAGCGCGGGAAATTTTAAATTAGAAAAATTTTAAAAAGGGCGTAAAGAAAGTCTTCTTAAGAAGTACACCTACAGTATCCCAGAATATTTGGAGTCGTCAATTATGGATGAATAAAAAATTTAAATGTATTCACTTATTAATACTATGTTACTTTTTCCTTTGACGTATGTATTTAAGAAATTAATTAATTCTGTAGTTGATTTCTTTGAATGAATAAATTTACTTTACTTTACTTTACAATGTCTAGACGTCCATTATCACTATCTTGCCTTCCGCCAGCAGCAATTTCAGTTCCTCCTAATCTTCCATTAATAATATTTAGTGTGCTGCCAACAGTACCAATTTTTCTTCAAGTCTTCTGTACGTAGTTAGAGTCTTCAGCAAGTAGTAGGCAGCTTTCTGCACGCAGTAGGCAGTCTCCAGCAAGCAGTATCTTGTCTTATTTGTAATGTCTAGAATTCCATTTCCATCTACAAGCAGAAATTTTAGTTCCTAATCTTCCATTAACAATATTTAGTGTGCTGCCAACACACTAATGTAACTAGTCTTCTATACGCAGTTGTGTAGGCTTCTGCAAGCAGTATCTAGTCTCATTTGCAATGTCTATTCACAGTTT